CTGTGCATTAATTAATGCAAAGTCGGTTCGATCCTCAGGTTTGGCAGTTCAAGCTCACCAGCTGCTTCTTGGAAATCCTATACAGGATAGTTATGAATTGGAACCAGCTCCACAGCCCTTAACAACAACAACACAATGGCTAAGATTAAATAAGTAAACAGAAAACAACAAATATTGGTGAGTATATGGGGAACCGTTAACCATTGTTGGTAGAAATGCAAAATGGGAAACCCACTGTGGAAAACAGTGTGTGGTTCCTCAAACAACTAAATGTACAACTACCTTGTTGTTGTTGTTAAGTGCCGTCGAGTCGGTTCCGACCCATAGTGACCCTGTACAGGGTTTCCGTGGGTGTAAATCTTTACGGGAGTAGAAAGCCTCATCTTTCTCCTGCGGAGCGGCTGGTAGTTTCGAACCGCTGACCTTAAGGTTCGCAGCCCGATTCGTAACCACTACGCTACCAGAGCTGTTAGTTGTTAGTTGACATCAATTCAGTTCCAACTCTATTACAGGAAAGCCAGCTATCTCCTTGCAGACGGTAACAAGGCATTTATTAAAATAAAGATGGCTTTTTGTCCAGGTGTTGTTGACCTGCCTAAAGAAAACCGGGAAGCAGCTTATACTGCCATTACCTTACCAGAAGAGTTTCATGACTTCAATCAGCTTCTTCCTGACTTAGATGACATTGGTGTGGTCTGGCAGGTCAGCCTGAACCAGAGTGGAAGAGCTAACCATGAGAGAAGTTGGAAACATCAGTTTTCTACAAGAAAACGATTGTGGTGACTTTGGAATGAATGATGGTGAGATAATGAGAGAAGCAGTGCTTTTGAGGATGATGACCTGTTAGTAAGCACTAGTGCTTCTAACCTCTTGCTTGAGCCCAAGCAAAGCAGCAGCAATCTGAATGAGAAAATTAACTATTTAGAATATGAAAACCAATATTAAGGATGGCAATTTTGGAGAAGGAAATGATGGTGGCATATTAAATGACAAACTTATTAGTAATAATGCTGGTGGTATCTTTGACGTTCCCCCTGCTGTCTTTGAGACAGGGATGATGTTGCCAGAACAGCCTACACATGATATGGATGAGGATGATAACATTTCAATGGGAGGGCCTGATAGATCCTGATTCAGTAGATCCTATTGAACCAATGCCAACTATAACTGATCAAACATTTGTTCCAAATGAGGAGGAAGCATTTGCTTTGGAGCCAATTGATATCACTGTTAAAGAAACAAAAACCAAGAGGAAGAGGAAATGAATTGTTAACAGTGTCAAAGAGTTGGATAGCAAGACCATTAGAGCCCAGCTTAGTGATTATTCTGATATTGTTACTACTTTGGATCTGGCAACACCCACTAAGAAATTGATGATGTGGAAAGAGACAGGAGGAGCGGAAAAAGTTTTCTCTTTACCTGCTTAGACTTTAAGGAATAATAGACTATTGAATCTTGTTACACGCTGTCTTACACCACTTGTACCAGAAGACCTTCAAAAAAGGAAGGAAGGAGGAGAGGTTGATAGTTTGCATGAATTCATCAAAGAATTCAAAAGTCCAGGGGTTCCCAGAGAGGACCAGCAGCAGTAGCAGCAAGAGCAGCAGTATGATGTATTGACAAGCCCATTTTGGAAAAACCAAGCCACCTCCAGGAGTCAGTCATGGAAACCAGCAGAACAAACTTGGATGAATCCGCAATCCTCCACCACCCCCTCAGGAGTTAAGCGAAAGGCCAGACAAGCTGACCCAGAGCCTGTGATGCCTCCCCAGCAGGTGGAGCAGATGGAAATACATTCTATAGAGCTTACCCCCAAAGAGCATCCAAATCTTTGTCAGCTAAGAACTGCTGCCCAAAAAGGAAAAGGAGAAAGAAGAGGAAGAGGAGGAAGATGCTTCAGGAGGAAGGTGATCAGGATCAAGAAGAAAGAAGATGGAACAAAAGAAGTCAGCAGCTGATTTATGATCTTCAGCGAGCTCTTGCTAAAACTGGAGCAGAATCTATCAGTTTGCTTGAGTTATGTGGAAACACAAACAGAAAGCAAGCTGCAGCAAGGTTCTATAGCTTCTTGGTTCTTAAAAAAGCAGCAACCATTGAGCTGACATAGGAAGAACCCTGCAGTGACATCATCACCACCCCTGGACAAAGATTTCCTATCATTTGAGCATCTAGAAGCAGTGTAGCTAGTGTCCATGTCACTAGTGAGTACAAATTGCTCTGATGTGTTGTTTTGTTAAGTGCCATCGAGTTGGTTCTGACCCATTGCAACCCTGTATAGGGTTTCCAAGGAGCGGCTGGTGAGCTTGAAGCTCCAACCTTGTGGTTCAAACCAACTTTGCAGTCCAGTGCATTAACCCACAGCACCACACAAGGGCATGTAAAATCCTTTTTAAGAAAGTTTAGATTTTTGTCTGTACAAAGTCTCTGCCTTTTCCTTTCTTCATTTTTCCACCCATATTTTAAATTTATTAATTTTATCTTTACCAATTTTTATGCATTGTGTTTGCATTCTGATGTAGAAATCAAGCATCCCAAGGACCCAGAAGATCATTTTCACAGTTCAGAACAAATGTGTGCAATATTGAGGGATGTAATAATGTTGAGTAGTAATCACAAGTCATGATTTTTTCTTGTTCTCCATTACTGCACTGAAAAGGTAAACTTGCCTGGGGAAATGCCTGACAATTTTTACTATGTGCGAATCTTTGATAAAAGAAATTGTCTTTTCCCATCAGTAACATGGATAATCTTTCTGTTGTTAACCACTGTACTTAGTGATGGGACCTAAAACATATATTGAGATATGTTTTAAAGTGTAATTCTATAATGAGTAAGGGTAAGAAATTCTGCTGTAACTGATTCCCTTCAGTTATAAAAGGATAGGGATTGCTTGGATTAATTACAGTGTTCTGTTTTGTAAATCATCTTACTTGAGTCTTTGTGATGAACCTTGCTATCCTGAAAGTTGTTGTCTTAAGGAGGCTCCACAATGAACAGAAAGGCATTTTCTTTTTTAACTAGAATGACTATTAAAAACTTTTTATAACTTTCCAGGATCTACAAATCAAAGTTTTCAAAAGATGTCTCAATATATTTGAATATGAAAATCATGAAAATAAAAATTGCCATGCCTATTAAAAGTACGGAGTCCTGGTGTGGCCCTGTGGGTTAATGCACTAGACTGCAAAGTCAGTTTGAACCACAAGGTGAGTGGTTCGATCTCATCAGCTGCTCCTTGGCAAACCTATACGGGGTTGTTATGGGTTGGAACCAATTCGACGGCATGTAACAACAACAACAAATTAACAGTACAGATTGATGGGAAATTATACACCTGGTTGATTTAGGCTTTAGCAGACAGTGCTGTAAGAACGAATGGCTTCTCTGGTATTTATTGTGTTAGTTCAGGTCTCTTTTCCAATGTTGCACACTCCTGTGTTTGTAACTTTAATAGCTTTGCAACAGAAATCCTGTACCTGGTTTCCTGTCATTTAAGCAAAGAAGCATGTCCACATAAAGATTTTACTAACTACCCAAGTTAGCATCAGAAATTATGTGACTATTTTATTATCAAACCATGCCTTAACTTTCTAGGGCAAAATTAACTCACACTGAAAGTTCTAGCATAAGTGGTGGCACTATTGTGGGGAAAAAAAACATCACTTGATACTCAGACCTGAGTATATACCCAATTACCTAGAAGTATATGAAGTGTTTTAAGTTTGTAAGTTTGTAATTACTATTTTAATGATTCAGTTTCTCTTGAGAATGGTAATTGTATAAAATTGCTACTGCAGCTTTATTTTCAATATGATGTGCCTGTAAACCATGGATTTTTCCCCCTTTGTAAAAAGGCATTGTAGCTCATTGAATGTCTGGTTATAGAAAGGTCATTAGTTTTTTGTTACACATGTTGCTCATCTGGCTTTTATTGTTTATCGGGTTTAATATTGTTTTTAAACATAGTTGATGCTATTTTATGTGTAACTTTTCTAATAAAAGTTATGTTATAAGCTGTAAATTTTGGAGAATTGGTTATTCAGTTGGTGATATTCCCCAATAGAAAGTTAATGATGCTAACATAAAAGAAATTAAAAAGAAAAACAATGGTTGATAATATCAAGAAATGATCCGCAAACATGAAGTAAAAGAACATTTATTTTAGTGACCTTTATTCAAATTGTAGCTGCAGACAACATGCTGAACAAGATATCAGTCAATTTTTTCAATGTAAGAAGTAGATTTAGTATTGCTGGCATATTAATGATGGCTATAATAATCATTAATTGTAAATAAAAATATTACATAACCTCTAAATAGACTAAAAGTCACTCAGATAATTTAAAACATTAAAGATAAATTTCACAGTTCATGTATTCAGTCAAATCAGGGATGATATGCATTAAAACAAACTAATTTATTTTCTTTAGGAAATTAAGACAGTGTTAATAATTAGGGAGTCCTGATGTGGCGCTGCGGGTTAAGGTCATTTTGAACCACAAGGTCAACTGTTCAGGCTCACCAACCTCTCCGTGGAAACCCTAAACAGGGTCACTATGAGTTGGAATTGACTCGTAGGCACGTAACAACAACAACAATCAATAATTTATTCCATAAAATTAAATAATCTGACACAAATTAGCCTTTTAAAAAATCCTTGAATGTTTCCCAAAGGCATGTAGTGTTTTACAAAAATTATCCTGCTTAGCAAAATGCAACATTCAAGTTAGAGTAATGATAAATGCTATATATTCAAATTAGCTAAGCTAAAAAAAATTACTTAGCTATAATTATTTCTGTAAGCACACAGGTTTTCAGTTCTAACTAGGATTACTGCAAATTTACAGAGAGAAGACAGGAAGTCTGCTTATTTATGGACTGGATCAGAACTTCAGCTACTTCCAGGTGACTTCTGCATTAAAATGGAACAATTTCAATGCACAATTCCAACTCCACAGCAATTCCAATGATGACATCACCTTGGATGTTCTGGATTTCCTTCACATTTTATAGAACATTGGCCCCACCGTAGCTATAATATCTGCATAGGGAGCATTCTGGCTCAGTTCAATAACCCGTTGTTTTTTCAGGACAAGAAAGCTGTAAAATTTGGCAGCTGTTTGTTTTCGACCACTATTTTTGCAGAGTTTCATCAGACTGAAGGATTGTATTCCCATCTTGTTGAATTTCTTTGAAAATAATTGGAAAGAGGGGGAAGGAGAAGGGAAACAAGATCATTAGAACTACAGCAGGCTTAATATACTGTGGGTACATAATAAATAATAACATTTTGATATTATTGATGTTGTTGTTGTTAAGTGCCATTGAGTTGGTTCCGACCCATAGCAACCCTGTATAGGGTTTCCGAGGAGCAGCTGGTGAACTTGAACTGCCGACCTTGCAGTTTAAACAGCTTTACAGTCTGGCACATCAACCCACAGCACAACACCAAGACTCTGATATTATTGATAAGTGACTGAAATTCTTAAATGGAGAAATACAGACAACCCTTTAGTAAACTTTTCAAAACATCTTTGGCTACTAAGTACAAGTTTGACTCATTGAGAAAATGTATGTAAAAGAACTCTAAAAGGTTACAAATGTCTGATGTGCTTTATAAATGCTGGACCCTTATGAAAAACAATGGAACAGAAATGGTTCCAGTGGAAAGCACACTTAGTTCAGACCTTCAGGTGAGAATGTCCACAAGGGTTTTTAAGACACCAAGATACAGTGACAATTATCAGCTTACCAGGCTTTAAAGGCACTGGAGATGGCTGTTGTTGTTAAGTGCCATCAAGTTGGTTCCGACTCCTAGCAACCCTGTTTAGGGTTTCCAAGGATTGGCTGGTGAGTTTGAACCACTGACCTTGTGGTCCAGCGCTTATTTTACATCGCCACATCAGGACACACAAGGAGGTGATTACAAATAACTCTCAAGGCAAATGAAGGAACCCTGTTGACATGAGTCAGCTCTGGGCTGCTAAGTAAAAGGTGAGTGGTTCAAACCCTCCAGCTGCTCTTCAGGAGAAAAGACCTGGAGATCTTCTCCTGTAAATATTGTTGCTGTAGTTAAGTGCCATAAAGTCAGTTCTGACTTATATCAACTCTGTACTTGACAACTTCAATCTCTTCTCCGTTGATAAGAATGTTGTTTACTGGTCCAGTGGTGAGGATTTTTGTTTTCTTTACATTAAGATTTAATCCATACCAAAGGCTATTATGCTCTTTGATCTTCATCAGTAAATGTTTTAAGTCCTCTTCACTTTCAGCAAGCAAGTTGTATCACAGGTTCTTAATGAGTCTTCCTCCAATCCTGATGCCATGTTTTTCTTCATAGAGCCCAGCTTCTCGGATTATTTGCTCAGCATACAGGTTTAATAAATACAGTTTAGGAAATTCTATGGAGTCTTGGTGTGGTGCTGTGGGTTAATGCTCTGGATTGCAAATTCAGTTTGAACGTCAATGTTGGTGGTTCAAGCTTAGCAGCCGCTCCACAAAAACCCTATACAGGGCCATTATGAGTTGGAACTGACTCAATGGCACTTAATAACAACAACAACAGGGAAACTCTATGGAGCATTTCTACTCTATCATTTAGGGCCCACAACTGGAAGGCATATGAGAACAACAGTGGTAAATGTAGATGTACTTTGCATATTACAGTGGCAAGGGAGTATGGCTATGTAAACATCTCCCAGTTTCTTTGCACAGATTAAAAAGATGCTGAATTCACCATAGGATAATGATGTGTCTACCAGAAATAACTGAGGTAGAATGAAGTATTCGATTATGGATGAGTATAATTCCTTTAATGAAGACTAGAATTTGAAGTAGATTCCTAGCAGGGAATATAGTCTTTAGGTTAGAAGCACTGTAATGAATACTGGCCAGTAACCCTGTGAGTACAGAACTCCTTGGGTAGTTATGAAGCATTTAAAAAAAATTCTATATATTGATTTTCCCTCCCAGTTCATATTATTTAACAAATTAATAAATTAAATAATATATTGTACTTTATTTCAACTAAAGGCGGGGCCTAGGGTCAGCAACCTTTCAGAAATGGCATACCAAGTCTTTCTTTGAAGGAGTTCTGGTGGTACAATGGCTAAGTACTCAGCCTGAGGCATGGTTTGAATTCACTAGCGGGTCTGCATAAGAAAAGACCTTCCAACAAGTTCCCATGGAGATTACAGCCTAGGAAACCCTATGGGGCAGTTACAGTGTCCTGTAAGGGTCACAGTGAGCTGGAATCAACTCAACAGCATGCAATAACAACATACCAGTCTTATTTATTCTCTCCCCTGAGGAGACATGATGTGGATTTTGGGTGTTTTTATTTCCCTGGACACATTCTCAATTTCAAATATCACGTTAGAAAAAAGAAAACAACTAAAAATCAACCCAGGAGAAAAATACATAAAATTGAACATATGTGCTTAATTGTGTTCCCTCCAGAAACTTCCCTGAAACAAAAGTGAAAAAATAAAAAGTTTCAAAGGAAAGGGATAAAGACAGAAAAACTAGAAGATGTAGCTCGTTTAACAGACAGGAGAAAGCTGAACCCTAACTGCCAGCTGGAAGGAAAAGTGCAGGGAGTGGAGGTGTGGGATGTCATGAGTATGGGATGAGAGACAAAGCTGAAAACATCATCATTCCTTGAAAGTCACTTGGCAGCAGTTAGACCTTCAGGTCCACTCCACCACCTCACAGAAACACAAAACACCTCTCAGATTCTAACAGGTGGTAAGGCGTTGCCCTTCTGATGACACCCACACCACTGAGGTTCGGGACTTGGGGTACACACACTCTGCATGGTAGAGAAATGTCACTAAGTAAAATCCTGCATTTTCACCAATGAGATCCCAGCTTCTTTCCTTCCTCATTTTGATTCCCAGCCCACTGACATCATGCGTATATTTCCAAGGCAGTAGAATAAAAGATTGTGGGAGTAATTTGAGGCTTTCTGTTCCCACAAGATTTACAACCTTGGAAATCCTATACAGGGTTGCTAGGAGTCAGAACTGACTCAACAAGTACAGCCAGATTACTGTGGAAAAACTGGCCATTCTGAAGGAAAAGACCGAAAGATAAGGCCATCCAGAGTACCCCATTATAAAGATCACTATTCCACAGCCCCATCCATGGATACAGAACTGCCGATCGGCTTTTTGGTCTCTGAAATAAAAGCAGACAAGTAAAGATCCACCAAACATTTAAGTAAAATCTCTAACATAAAAATTTAAAACGAATATATTCAAGGATTTGATCAAGGAAGTAGAGACAATACAGAGAGGAGGGAAAAAAGCCCACTATAATCTCAGAAAGTTAAGAGAAGACACTACATCCATGTAAATGACTGGGATGGTAGTAAAGGCAAGCAGATCAGTGGTTCAGGGTATGGGAGGGAGGCACCCAGGGGCAGGACTCAGTGAATGGACACAAGGAAATGGGCTGGAGTAATAAATAGCTTCATTACCTTGACTCTGCTATGGTTTCACAGGTGCTACATATGACAAAACATATCAAATTATGTACTTTTAAATGTGTGTGTGTGTGTGTGTCTATGTTAAGTGCTGCCGCAGTGGTTCCAACTCATAGCAATCCTAGATAGGGTGTCCGAGGAGCATCATTCTTTCATTTCAAACTGATCTTGTGGTCCAGTGCTTATCTTATAGCACCACATGCGAACTTGTATTTTTATTGTATATTAACCATACTGCAATAAAGCTATTGAAAACTAAATAAATTAGGACATTATAAAACAAAAGAATTGTTGACAACAAGAAGCCTTGGAAGACAAACAGTGGTCAAATAAGAAATACAAATCTGATGAAAACTGGTAAACAAAAGTTGAGGTAATCTTCTAGAGTAGAAGATTAAAAAGTGTCCACATGTTTCTGCCAAGGGCTACTTGGATACTTATAACATTATTGATGCGCCATACAAAATTATCAACTTAAAAACTGTTGTTGTTCCTACACCTATGGAAACAGTAGCTCAAAAGAGGGAACAAGTCCTTACAACAAGAATCATTCCCACCCCCTCCACACACAGAGTAGACAGGGATGGGCAACTTGGACATTGGCTACCCAAAATGGGGGGCGGGGAGCTACAAAGGCAAGAAGTGACTGGCTTACAAGCTTTCAAGAGGGAACCTAGATCCAGAGGGCCTGGAGGAAGGTAGAATCTCCAGTGAGTAGTATTCAATCTGACTAGGTGGGGCTGATGCAATGAAATGTAGACAGGTCTCTTATGATACAATAGTGAATAATTGTTATCAGGACTGTTTGTGAGGGTCAGAAATGTAAAGGTAGACGTTTTATAGCAAGGAGGGGTGTGATTAACTTTTCAGTCTAGGAGTGGAGGTCCCTAGGACCATCAAGGGAGAAGAGCAGAGAGCGGGACTTTACTCAGAGAAGCAGTGATGCCTGAAATGGAGCCAGAGATGATGACGTGGAGCGATGGAGCAGCTGGAGACTTTAGATCCAGAGAGGGAGAGCGACTGTGTGCTGAAGACCTGGGGGATACGGGGGAAGGATTGCATGGAGGGGATTGTAACCATGGCAATGAGACTATATACAATAGAATGAATGTAAAACTAATGTTCTCCTATGTAAACTATCACATAATTGACAATAAAACATTTAAGAAAAAAAACTGTTGTTGTTTCTGTTAAGTGCTATCAAGTCAGTTCCCACCCATAGCGACCCTGTTAGGATTACCTAGGCAGCTGTTGAGCTTGAACTATAGACCCTGTGGCTAAAACTGACTTTGCAGTCCAGTGCATTAACCCACAGTGCCACACCAGGACAATTATTTGCTCAAACATTTAATTAATTCACCTGGTGTGGTGCTGTGGGTTAATGCAAAGTCAGTTTGAACCACAGAGTTCGCTGTTCAAGCTCACCAGCCACTCCTCAGAAACTCTACACAGGGTTGCTATGGGTTGGAACCGACTCGATGGCACTTAACAACAACCAATGTGATAGCTGGAACTGCAGTTGCCTTGGCAGGGCCAGACCAACTGATGTCCCCTACCCCTGTTCCAGTGAGCAGAAAAATAAAAAGCTTAAAGAAAAGTAATATACGGGAGAAAATATTTTGATAAAATTAAAGGAGCAATTCAGGAGATTCAACATGTGATTCATCTGCCATCTAGAAAGAGAGAACAGATAAACAACAAAAA